GTTTGTTTGTGTAGGTACAGGTTTGCTATGGTTTGCATAAGACCACACCAAGTTAATAGGTTTTCTCTACCCAATAATAGATTTTTTCCAAAGCATTAAGACAGATCAAGCCAAATTAAAAAGCAAACTTACCAGATTTTTGCTGAGCAAAGAAACTCCCTGGTGACTCCTTCAGGTGCCAATTATGGCACCCGCTAGTTAGGGTCTTGTGATGTTGGCAACTTCAAACTTTGGGGGAGGAGCCAAAAACATCGAGATGGTGGAACTGAGCTTTTGACATCTTCCTTTGAAAGAAGCTCTCTTTCTCTGAGATAGTGGCTTTTGGGCAGAGAAAGCCAGGAAAGAGAGAGAGAGAGAGAGAGAGAGAGAGAGAGAGAGAGAGAGAGAGGTTTGTATATGGACGCACCCATGGAGACCAGAAGTTTTGGATTGTCTGGAGCTGAGTTATAGGTGGGTGTGCACCCCCAACATGGGTGTTGGGAACTGAACCCAGGTCCCCTCAAGAACAGCAAAAGCTCTTATCCACAGAGCCATCTCCCTGGCACCATGGGTTGTTTGTTTTTGCATTTTTTATTTATTTAGAGTGGTGGTGGTGTGACATGCGTACCACAGCCTGTTGTAGAGGTCAGAGGACAGCCGGTAGGAGTCAGCTCTCTTGTTCCACCATGTGGGGACCAGGATCAAACTCAGTTCACCAGGTTTGGTGGTACCTTGCTGAGCTATCTTGCTGGACCTAATTTTGGTTTTGTTGAGGGTCCCAGTAGCCCAAGCTGACATCAAACTCACTGTGTAGTCAAAGATGATCTTTAACTCTGATCCTCCCACCTCTACCTCCCAAGTGCTTGGGTTACAGCTATCACAACACCTGGTTTTATGCAGCACTAGGGATCCAGCCCAGGGCTTCTTGCAACCCAGGCAAACATTCTACCTAGCAGCTGAGCCACATAGCCAGCCCTGCTGTGTTTTTGGAATCAGCATTTTTCACTGATCTGGAACTCACCGAGTCTGGCTGGCCTGCAACCTGTGATGTCCTCCTGTCTGCCCCGCCCCCAGTGCTGGAATTACAAGCCTACTCTCCCATGCCTGGATTTTTGATATAGGTTTTGGGTCTGGAACTGAGGCCACATCTGTGCAACAAGCCATTTACCAGCCGAGCCCCCTCGCAGTCCTCCTTTGTTTGGTTGGCTTTTGCTTTTTGTTTTCTGAGACAAGGTTTCTCTGTTTAACAGTCCTGGCTGTACTGGCTCTCACTCTGCAGACCAAGATGGCCTTGAACTCACAGAGACCTGCCTGCCTCTGCCTCCTAAGGAGTGCTCCACCAATGCTTGGCTCTCCGAGCCCTGTTTTTTTTTTATTCTTATTTATTTATTTTTTTATTATTTATTAAAGATTTCTGTCTCTTTCCCACCGCCGCCTCCCCTTTCCCTTCCCCTCCCCCAATCAAATCCCCCTCCCTCGTCAGCCCAAAGAGCAATCAGGGTTCTCTGCCCTGTGGGAAGTCCAAGGACCACCCACCTCCATCCAGGTCTAGTAAGGTGAGCATCCAAACTGCCTAGGCTCTCACCAAGCCAATACGTGCAGTAGGATCAAAAACCCATTGCCATTGTTCTTGATGTCTCAGTAGTCCTCATTGTCCGCTATGTTCAGTGAGACCAGTTTTAACCCAGGCTTTTTCAGACCCAGGCCAGCTGGCCTTGGTGAGTTCCCGATAGAACATCCCCATTGTCTCAGTGTGTGGGTGCGCCCCTCGCAGTCCTGAGTTCCTTGCTCGTGCTCTCTCTCCTTCTGCTCCTGATTTGGACCTTGAGATTTCAGTCTGGCGAGCCCGTTTTCATTGCTGATGCTGCTCTGTTCTCCTAGATGACTGGTCTCGGGTGCCCCTGAAGCCCCTTCATGAGGAACCAGGCTCTGACTATATCAACGCCAACTTCATGCCTGTAAGGTGGCAGTGGGAGGGGGGACACTTCATGAGTCTGGAGAGATAAAGAGCTGAAGGGGGTGCTGGTCATCCGATGACCTCTCCTTGACACGCCTGCTTTCCTCAACTAGGGTCTCGGGAGCTCCAAGGAATTTATTGCAACCCAGGGTCCCCTGCCTCACACTGTGGGTGATTTCTGGCGTCTGGTGTGGGAACAGAAGAGCCACACTGTGGTCATGCTGACCAACTGCATGGAGTCTGGACGGGTGAGAAGAGATCTCTGTCCTGGTGCTAACCACTGAGCACCAACCCTTGACCCTGCCCCATCTGAACTCTGACTTGGTGCAGTCCCTTCTACACACTATTTCTCCAACACAACTCTATCCATCTCCAACAAGGAACCATCCCCTCCACTTTCATAATGTGATCCATGTGTGTGCACGTGTGCGTGTGTGTGTGCATGGTCCATGTTCTGCTGCTGTGAGTGACTGCCACAGATGGGATATTTTATATAGAACAAAGGTTCATGTGTCTCATGCTTCTGGAGGATGGGAAGTTCAAGATCATGATGCTGGCACCTGGGGAGGGTCTTCCTGCATCACGACCAGATGGAAAGTACCACGTGGTGAGGCACAGCCAGTGTGCTGGTTCAGTTCTCTTTCTCATCGTATACAATCATGAATATCATACTGAGGGCCCCTATGACTTCATCTAATCCTAGTGTCTTCCCATAGACCTCATCTCCAGATACTGTTTGCCTATGAATTTAGGAATGAGGCTCTCAGTTCACAAGTTTTTAGAAGAAGCACATTCAAACTATATCAAGGCTCCACAGACCTTGAGATGAAGGAGCCCTCTTGGCTGGTGTGAATCTATTCGATCTGGCACCCCTGTGTCCTACATTGTTGCCAGAGTAGCAAGCATATCCTCACCTTGACTAGAGGAATCATGGAAGAGACCAGTACTTGCTTAATATACATGAGGGCCTAGGTTCAATTCCCAGCACCGTATAAACCTATGAGGTGGCACAAACCTATATAATCCAGCACTCTGGAAGATAGAGGCAGGAGGACCATAAGTCAAGGTCATCTTTGACTTCAAATAAAGCCCAAGTAGGTCCTCTCAGGGGGAAAAAAACCAACATGCAAAGATGTCTTGTTCTCAGAGGTGGGGAGATGGCTCAGTGGATAAGAGATTTAACACTGGAAGCACAAGGCCGGAGCTTGGATCCTCAGACCTGCGTAAATGCCAAGTGAGCACAGTGACTCGCTTGTAATTCTAGCCCTCAGAAGGCAGAAAAATGGAGGCTCTGGAACAAGCTGGCAAGCCAGACTAGTCATAGTGTGCAAGCCCCCTGTCTCAGCGAGTACAATGTAGAGTGTGGTTGCGAAAGTCTCGTGACAACAGTCTCAGGCATCCATACCCGTATGCACACACATGCGTGTTCATTCCCAGTGTGCTCACACACACGCACATGCCCTGTTCTGCTTTCTGACTGTCCTGGTCTCCCTGCCCAGGTGAAGTGCGAGCATTACTGGCCTCTGGATGCGCAGCCCTGCACGCATGGGCAGTTGCAAGTGACGTTGATGAGTGAGGAGGTGAAGGAGAACTGGACAGTGAGGGATCTTCAGCTCTTCCACGTGAGTCCCTTCAGCCCCACCAAGAACACCTCAAGAGATCTCCCTGCAGTGTGTGGCCCAGAAGCTCCCCCGTTGGGCATAGAAGCTTCTGGAGTCTCTGCACTCTCCCTGCTCAGCCCTCATCTCCTTTCAGATGGGAGAACAACAGACTCACTCTGTTCGCCAGTTCCACTTCCTGGCCTGGCCAGATCATGGAGTTCCTTACTCCCCAGACCCTTTGCTGGATTTCCAAAAGGTGCTGCGGGAGTGGGTGGACCAGAGCATGGATGGGGGTCCTCCCATTGTGCATTGCAGGTGAGTGTGACCGTGGAAGTCTCTCCATTGGCGAGTTCTGTCCCCTGTCCCCAGGGACTCTGAATCCATCACAGACATGCACACATACACATAATTAAAAGAAAAATATAATCTTTAAAAATCAATTAGGGGCTGGACATACGCCTGTGATCCCACACTTGGGAGGCAGGGGCAGGTGGATCAGCTTGGTCAGGAGAGTCAGGGCAACACAGAGAAGCCCTATTTTGAAAAACCAAAGCCAAATCAATCAAACAACAACAAACCCCACACCAATTTGTTTAGGAGTTATTCCTGTGAATTTCAGCTCCAGACCTTTTATTAACTGCATGGCCCGAGTCACGTGACTTCCTCAACTTTCATGTTGCCACCTGTGAAATGGGTGTGCGGATACATCCCATTTTTATGCTCGGAGCAGTGACGAGACCAAGCAGAGTTCACAGAACATGGAGGCGGAAACTGCTAGGCACTGTCATTGCCCCACAGACCCCACTTAAACTGCGGCTTGTTGGGGGTCGCACCTTCCGGGTGCTCCAAAACCACTCCAGCTCAGCCGCTAGAACTCCAGACTTCCCCTTCTTCTGGAGGCCTGACCCCTGTCTTGTCCCTTGCCTAGCGCTGGTGTGGGCCGGACGGGCACCCTCATTGCATTGGACGTCCTACTCCGACAGCTGGAGTGTGAGGGGCTGGTGGGTCCCTTCAGCTTCGTGAAGAAGATGAGAGAGAGCCGGCCATTGATGGTGCAGACAGAGGTGAGGGGCTCTAAGGGGGTGTGGGCATGGTGTGGGAATGAGGTACCCTTTGGGGGAGCATTCCTCATCTCTGTGCACCCCCCCAGGCCCAGTACATATTCCTCCACCAATGCATCTTGAGGTTCCTCCAGAAGTCAGCCCCCGCCCTCATCCTAAAGGAGTCAATCTATGAGAATGTGCCAAACTTCATTTATGAGAACGTAGCTGCCATCAGAGCCAATGAATCTGAGGTCTCAGCTACTGGGTGCTGAGCCTACACACAGAAATAATCAGGCTGGATATGGACCCCTGCTGAAGACCAGAATCCTGAACCTCCAAGAGAAGTGAGGTTTGGAGTCTCAGCCTCCCCAGCCCACTGGAAAGCCATCTCCTGTTGTCCAAGGACAGGATGGGACTGCTGTACTTCTGATATGAGCCTAGTGGGAGCTGGGAGCCTAAGGACAGGGGCAGCAAGAGGATTTCCTGTTCTTTGAGTGGAGGTGGCTGTGGCTGGGGCATGCAGGGTCTCAAAGGAATGGACTGGAGCCTGGATTTAGAAGAAAGAATCAGGATCTGGAATTCTGCTACCTGAGGAACAAGGGCGGGCAGGTACCTGCCCCTCCCCCGATTATTTCAGAAATGGAATCAGTCTCCTTGAATCAGAGGCTGAAGGGAGCACCTTTGCTTGGGGGTCTCCGTGCACCCCGTGCCTGCACATTCTTTCAGTCCATATAATTTATTGAACTATTATCCTCGAAGGTGGGTTTTTGTTTCAAGAGATAATATTGGGATAGAAGAGGGGGTTCCACACATTAAAACTGGAGCAAACACATGGAGGGAACGTGAAGAGCCCATTATACTCCATCACTCACTACAAAAGGATAGCTCAGTGGGAAAATGCTTGCTTTGAAAGCTTGGGGACATGAATTTGAGCCCCAGAACCCATGTGAAAAAATCTAGGTGTGGTGGGGCTTGCTTGTAACGGTAGAAGTGAGGAGGCAGAGGTGGACAGGTCCCTGGAGCTTGATGGCCAGCCAACCTAGCCTACTCGGTGTGTTCCGGGCCAGTGAGAATGTCTCTCAAGACAAGATAGACAGGGTCACTGAGTACTCAGCTGGAAAAGACCCTTCCTGTAAAGCGTGGTGACCTGAGGTCAGTCCCCAGGAATGCACATGGTGGCTGGAGAGAGCCAATGCCTTCAAACTGTCCTTTGACCTCCACATGCCCACTCCCCCCCAAATAAATAAATGTAATTTAAGTTTTTAAAAGGTGGAGGGAAAACATGCAAAGTTGCCTTCTGACCTTCACACACATGCACACACATGAACGTGCACCACTATACACACGGACACACAAGTGAGCGCGCACACACATATACAGATTCGGATGGCCAGGTCTTTCAAAGAGGGGTGAGGTACCAGACCTCTGTGTTGGCTGCAGCCAAAGATGTAAGGGATTGGTTAAGGGGAAGTGATGTCTGAGAGCAGAAATGCTGGAAGCTCCTATTCCTTGCCTTGAGAATCTGGGTAACTTAGTACTTGGTCTCCAGAGGAGCCTCTCATGGATCTTGAAACCAAGTGCTCTGGAATCCAGTTAATTGCATTGTAAAAAAGTCTGTTTTGTGTGTGTGTTGCGGGGGCTGGTGCTCACTGTAGATGTCCGATGACTTAGCCAGACGTCAGAACATTCTAGGGTACTAAGATCAACGTACGTGGGCGCCATGGTGGTTCTCGGGTGTGGCGGGCCGAGGGGCGGAGCAGGGCGTTCTCCTTTCTCCGGGGCAGAACACGCACGCACACATATGCACACATTCATACACGCGCGCGCGTTCACACACAGGGGCACAGGCACCAGCCTGGCTGGACTCAGCCGCGCCCCCACCCCGCCGAGCTAGATCAGCACACCGGAGAGCGCCATCCGCCCACGTGCTGGGGGCGGGGTCCCGGCAGCCCACCACTCGGCGCTTCCAGGAGGGTCCTATCCAGCCACCTAGCAGGTAGGAGCTGTGGGACCCTCTGACCAAGCCACATCTTGAGTCCTATTCGTAGAGGGACCGAGGTGTGTGGCAGGGGTAGGGGTGAGGGACTGGGTGGAGGGACGCTGACAAGAATCAACTCTGAGTAGCAGATTGAAGCCCTAACCTAGGAGATTGCTGTGTGGAGAGGAGAGACAGGTGTGGAGACAAAGAGAGAAGGTCGGTAGGCAGAAAGGAGAGAGAGAGAGAGAGAGAGAGAGAGAGAGAGAGAGAGAGAGAGAGAGAGAGAGAGAGAGAGAGAGAGAGAAGAGACCGAGGCCAGACAACAGAGGGCAGCAGAGACGCGGGCGAGAGAAGGATGTGGGGGACAGAGTAGGGAAGATGTCCATCTGGGGTTTAGAGAGAAGTGAACGCCGACTAGATCACGAGAACAGGTGTGAGGACAGAGTCGGGGTGCGCGCGAGAGATTCGCGAGCAAGAGGATGTGGGTGCCCAACAGAGGTGCGGGGGCAGGTTCCCCACTTCACCAGCAAGAGCGGTGGTGCAAGGGGTCCGATGTGGAGGGAGAAGCCATTGGGGATGCACAGAGCACAGGCCGCCCTCAACCACCCTTGTAGGGCCGCGGGATCCCCGTCCCGAGTCCCAAGCACCGGCACCGCCCGGCCTTCGTTTCTGTGCGTCAGTCCCTCCCGTTGTCTTGGCAACAGGCTCGTTGCTCAGCAACCAGCCTTGCTATCACCCTGCCTGGAGCCTGGCGGTCTCTCTGGGCAACAGCGTCTGCTGGTTCCCACGCCTGCCTTCGCCCACTTCCGGTTCAAGCCCTTGGGAAGGGCAAGGAAGGGGCAGAAGAGGGTGGTTGGGGGATGCCTGCAGAGAGGGAGCGTCCCTTTGTGATGGAATTGGGTTCTCCCAAAGCCCGCCCTGGGCCTGGAAAGGCCGAGATTCATTCCCAATGTGCACCGAAAGTCTTTGATGCGCAGAAAGCTCAATGGATGCTTGGGGATAGGAGTGGGGGGGGGGGGATAAGGTACTTGGGTACCTCTGCAGGAAGCACCGCAGGAACCCGACGCCATGTTCCCGGAACCCCCTACCCCTGGCTCTCCAGCGCCTGAGACACATCCAGACTCCAGCCGCATCAGGCAGGGTGCAGGTGAGAGAAACCTAGGCTATCCCCAGTGGAAAACTCCCGTGGGATCCCTAGGGGCGGGACTCAAATGCAAAGACTCGGGTTGGTGAACTGGAAAATCCGGCAGGGATCATGGGTCAGAATCCCAGACTAGAATCTGAACTGCTGAAAAGGAAAGACAGGTCTGAGAGGAAAACCAGAAGCGGATCAAGGGTGGGCATGGAATGGGATCATAAATGGGTGAATGGAAACTGAGACCCAGGAGCCAGCAAAGAAGCGTCTTCTAAAAGCAATAGGAGTTAAGCGAACATCAGAATGTGTGTATAGACGTCACTACTGTAAGAAAGCAAGCAAGCAAACAAACAAACAACAAAAAGATAGCAAATCATGTCAGTGTGGGTTAGAGCATCAGCTGAGTTTTATAGGAGAGACTGGTTGGAAGGAAAACATGGGATTAAAATGGGACGAAATTGGCTGGAGGGGCGTCCAGGCTAAGATTCAAGCTGTCATAGGGAGTCAAGGCTGAGCTAGCCAGCCGACTTCCCAGAGCTTCAATGCATTTTGTGTCCATCCTTCTGCAGTGCCTGCCTGGGTCCTGGCCACCATCGTACTGGGCTCAGGCCTCCTGATCTTCAGCAGCTGTTTCTGTCTCTACCGGAAGCGCTGTCGGAGAAGGATGGGCAAGAAGAGCCAGGCCCAAGCCCAAGTCCACCTTCAGGAAGTGAAAGAGCTGGGCCGGAGTTACATAGATAAGGTGTGACACGGACAGCTTCTTGACCCTTTCCTTTGCACACCCGGCGGCCCCCATGTCCCCAGCTGTCCTCTGTCTTTGGTCCCTCCACTTCTTAATCCCATTTTGTCCATATTCTGGGGACCAGAGCTTGTAACTGTCCACAAAAACTCTCCAGTCTGAGCTGGGTGTGATGGTGTACATGTGCAATCCCAGCACTTGGGAGGCTGAGGCAGTAGGGTTGCCGTGAGTTCAAAATCAACCAGAGCTATATAGTGCCTGCAACGCCAGCCTGGGCTAAAAAGTGAGACCTTGCCTCACAAAACAAAACAGGACTGAGAAGCTAGCTCAGTGGTTAAGAGCACTTTCTACTCTTACAGAGGACACGGGTTCGGTTCCCAGAACCCACATGGTGGCTCACAACCATCTGTAACTATAGTTCTAGGAGACCCAACACCCTCTTCTGACTTCTGTGGGTGCCAGGTACATATGTGATGCACATACATACGTGTGGGCAAAACACTAATAAACATAAAGTAAATAAATCTATAAAACAAAACAAAACAAACAAATGAAAAAACCAGTAGGCAACGTGGTTGCTAAGCAAGCATACAGACCATAGTTCTGATCCCTTACCCACCCAAAATCTGGGCGTGGCCATGCATGCCTATAGCTCCAGCAGTGGGGGTGGAGAGGGAGTAGAAACAGGCATATTCCTGGAACTTCATGACCAGCCTGTCTAGGAGAAATGGTAAACTTTAGCTTGAGTGAGAGACCCTGACTCAAAAAGTAAGGTAGAGAGTAAGAGAGGAAGACACCCAAAGTTGACCTCTGACCTTCACACACGTGCACAGGAATAGATGAGTATAGCAACATACACAGGCGTGCACACACACACACACACACACACACACACACCTGTCTACAGCCACGCTGCCCTAAATATTCTGGAGAAGTGACTTACTTAGGATGTTGTCATAAGCAGGGCACAACAGACATTGTGGTATGAACAGCCCCAAGTCAGAGGAAGTTTCCTGATGACTTCTATGGCTAGACAAGAACGACAGAGTTAGCTGAGAGCCAGGACAAGAGCAGGTGTTGAGGACAGCTTACTGGGCCTTGAGGTGAAGCAATAGAGAGTTGTTCACAGTGTCCCATAGTGGGGCATCTGGAAGACTGAGCACTCTCCATGTAAGGAGGTGTTTGCCCAAGACAGGGACAGGGTCCTGGGAATGTAGCTCAACAGCCAAGCATTTTCCTGGCCATATGAAGCCCTGGATTCAATCCCTGGCACCACATAAGGAGTGGTAGTGTACCCCAGTAATCCCAGATCTTGGGAGGCGGGGGCAGGAGGATCCAGAAATTCAAGGTTATCCGTGGTTACATGACAAGTTGGAGGCCAACATGAGCTATACGACAACATGTCTGAGAGAGAGAGATCAGCATATATGTCATGAATGCACACCAATGGACACATACACACACACACATACATCATCAAGGACTTAGGGGGTATGGAGAGTGGTAAAGAGCACTTGTTCCTCTTCCAGAGGACCACGTTCTGTCCACAGTGCCCACGAAGGACCACGCTCTGTCTCCAGTGCCCATGTAGGACCACACTCTGTCCCCAGTGCCCACGTAGGACCACGCTCTGTCCCCAGTGCCCACGTAGGACCACGCTCTGTCCCCAGTGCCCACGTAGGACCACGCTCTGTCCCCAGTGCCCATGTAGGACCACACTCTGTCCCCAGTGCCCATGTAGGATGGCTCCCAACCACCTACAACATCTCCAGGGTATCCAATACCTCTCGCCCCCATGGGCAGCTGCACTCACATGCACGTATCCACATGAAGACACACGCCTACACACAACTTAAGATATAAAAAAATCAGTATTAAAAAATGTATAGGCTGTGGTAGAATCTCAATATTATGCCCCCAAAGGCAGAGTGGAATACAGGCCAGGCAGTCTTGGGTTTCCAACCCTGGGGACCATTTTTTCGTCTGTGTGACCTTGAGAACTACATCTGTGGTTCATGGTAATTAACTCATGTCTCTCCTCCTTTCACAACAAGTAGCTGTTGTTATAATTATAATTATTACCTAGAAGGATTCTTTTTGGAATCCTGGAACCCACTCTCCATTTCTGTTCCTTAAGTCAGTGATTTCAAAGACCATGTATGTCAGAATCACCTCCAACTTAGTTGAAATGTAAATTTTGGATGGAATTCACACAGACCTCATGAATCAGAACCCCTAATGAGGTGACCTCGATATTTTGCCACTAGTCTCTGATGGATACTAGACTCTGAGAGTCTATGGTGGGTTAAAAAAAAAACCTTATATGCTAAATGCTAAGCACGTGGTAAATATACCATTTTCCTGTGGCAAGATGATGGTGGTAATTTGTACTGTTATCCCAGTACATTCATAAGAAACAGTCCCAGACTGTGTCTCACTGTTTGTTCCTATAGCAGACATCACTAATCAAATGCTGACAGATATGTTGCCTTTGTAACCATATCTTGTTCCAGACTTTACTAATCAAATACTGTTTAGACAAAAAAGAGGGGTCTGTGAGCCTCTTGAGGTTTCTGAGCCTGGAGGGTGCTAGTTTCCAGAGAAGATTCCACCAAGAAGTCCCTGGTTTTTTAGGTTCAGCCTGAAATAGAAGAGCTGGATCCCTCACCATCCATGCCAAGCCAGCAGGTACCAGACAAGCACCAGCTAGGACGACTGCAGTATTCACTGGATTATGACTTCCAGACGGGTCAGGTGGGTGTGAAGGAGGGCAAATGCTTTGGAAGGGGAGACCCTGGGTGGGAGGCTGGACTAGAGTCCTTCTTCTGTGTCTGGGCCCTGCAGCTCCTGGTGGGCATCCTGCAAGCTGAAGGGCTGGCGGCGTTGGACCTAGGAGGTTCTTCAGACCCCTATGTTAGCGTCTATCTGCTGCCAGACAAGCGGAGGCGACATGAGACCAAGGTGCATCGGCAGACCCTGAATCCACACTTTGAGGAAACCTTTGCCTTCAAGGTGAGTTCCTGTTGCCATCACCCCATGGTCCTCAGCCTACCCCTCATCCCTGGAATGCTAAGGACTGACCCCTTCCGCTCTCCCTGGAAGAAGACACAGCTCAGGTAGCAGCTGCCTGTATGTATAGGCAGTGGGAGGCGGTTCCTTGAGACCTGGAGTTGTCCCCGGGAACACTGCAGTGCCTGGGCTGTCTGTGACTTGGTCCTTGTCCGCTCCTATTTGTTTTCTGTTCACGTGAGTTTTCTTCTGCCGATCCGTGTACTTTACTGAGGTCCCTGGAACCTCACTGCCCATGTTATGGGGTATTTGTACACTGTGTGAAGATATGTCACTGTGGTTGGTTTAATAAAGAGCTGGATGGCCAATAGCTAGGCGGGAAGAGATTGGGGAAGACTTCTGGGGACAGAGAAGGCTCTGGGAAAAAGAAAGGCAGAGTCGCCAGCCAGACATGGAGAGGAAGCAAAAGGTGCAAGCTGTCATCAGATGGCAGAAAGCAGATAAATACAAATGGGGTTAATTTAAGTTGTAAGATGTAAATGGAGCTACATGTTTGTTTCCCGGCTGCCCAGAACTGAATAATCACACAGACACTATATTAATTAATATTGACTGTTTGGTCAATAGCTTAGGCATAATCCTAGCTAACTCTTACATCTTAAGTTGACCCATTTCTATTAATCTGTGTATCACCATGAGGCTGTGGCCTACTGGTAAGGTTCCGGTGTCCTTCTCCTTCAGTAGCTACATGGCATCTCTGTGACTCTGCCTACCCTCTGACTCTTCCAGTCTGGTTATATTCTGCCCTGCCATAGGCCAAAGCAGCTTCTTTATTAATCAATGGTAATAAAATATATTCATAGCATACAGAGGGGGAATACCACATCAGTAAGAGCTTGTTGAGACTAGCCTGAGCTAAAGGCCAAGCTTTCATAATTAATAAGAAGTCTCTGTGTAGCTAGTTGGGAGCTGGCAGCCCAAAGGAAACTCTGTCTACAGCCCCACTCCACTTCCACCTGAATATTCTATCCCCCACAGCCTCTCTCTCTCTGGCTTCCTATCCTGCCCCCTGTATTCCCTTCCTCCAGGTGCCGTATGTGGAACTGGGAGGCAGAGTGCTGGTCATGGCGGTATACGATTTCGATCGCTTCTCCCGCAATGATGCCATCGGGGAGGTGCGGGTGCCCATGAGTTCAGTGAACCTGGGCCGGCCGGTGCAGGCCTGGAGAGAGCTGCAGACGGCTCCCAAAGAGGAGGTGAGCGTGCGTGGCCCCGCCCATCCCTACTCTGGACGATAACAGGCTAGCTCCACCTCCCTGGTGCCTGACTCTGGACCATTCCATTCCAAAGCCGGCAGGTGAGGGGCCGATTTGGGTGATAGGTTCCATTCCTCCTTTTAGCAGGAGAAACTGGGGGACATCTGCTTCTCTCTCCGCTACGTCCCCACGGCCGGAAAACTGACCGTCATTGTTCTGGAAGCTAAAAACCTGAAGAAGATGGATGTAGGAGGACTCTCAGGTGTGTGCAAAACAAAACATGGTGTGTGTGTGTGTGTGTATGTGTGTGTGTATGTGAGTGAGTGTTAGGGTTTATACTGCTGTGATAAAGACTCTGATTTAAAAAAAACGGGGAAGAAAACGTTTAATCTTACAGCTTTATTTTGTGACATTCGATCACAGACAGAAGTCAGGGCAGGAACTCAAGGAGAGCAGGAACCTGGAGGTAGGAGCTGCTGCACATGGGCAGAAAGGAGTGCAGCTTCCTGGCTTTCTCCCCATGGCTTTCTCAGCTTGCTTCTTATACATCCGGGACCATTTGTCCAGGGTTGACACTACCCACAGTGGGCAAGGTCCTCACATCAACACCCAATTAGGAAACTACCTCCTGCCTGCAGGCAACATCATGAAGGCATTTTCTCGTTTTTGGTTCACTCTTCTCAGATAACTCTGTAACTTCTCAGATAACTTGTATCGATTTGATAACAAAGCAACAACCATGACAAGCACCAATCAGGACAGGAGGTGTGTTTTTGACTAGGGGTTCTGATAGCTTCTTGACCTGGGAGGTCTCTTAGGGGATAGCAGAACCCAAACTGCTGTGGGATACAGGACTGATCCTATCCAGAAAAGGGACACCTGAGGGGTACATGGGGTGATTCTATCTGGGTCCAAAAGAGATTCTTCACGGCTTCCACACAGCCTGATCTTATGAGCCCAGCAGTGCGGAGTTAAAGGATGCCTTTCTTTGCCCCAGATCCCTATGTGAAGGTGCACCTGCTTCAGGGAGGCAAAAAGGTTCGGAAGAAGAAAACCACCATTAAGAAGAACACCCTGAACCCCTATTATAACGAGGCCTTCAGCTTCGAGGTGCCCTGTGACCAAGTGCAGGTGAGTGCAGCCATGTCCCTGATTTTACTGAGACAGCTCCACCACGGGAACCCCCAAGGATGGTAGCGGCAAAGGGAAAGGGGCCTGGGCATCAGTGAAGAACCAGCCCTAAGGTCTGAGGTCATATTTTTTGTCTCCATTTCCTCCTCTGGAGACCAGGAGGCCTTAGAACCTGGCCTTGGGCATGTCTCCCCTAAGCAAGACATGCATGTGTGGACAGTAAATGCCTGTCCCCAGCAAGGCCCGCCCCCAACAAACTTAGACCATCTAGTTCCTATTTTAAAGACTTTTGATCACCGCACCCATATCAAGGACTTGCATGTTTACCCTTCTTCTGAGTCCTGATCTCTAAGGAGGCCCCTACCAAGCTCTGGGCCATGGGTGTTGTGGGTTTATCTCTGTAGAAGTTGGGTGTTATGGCACATGCCTTTGATCCCAGCACTCCGTAGAGGCCAAGCTGCTCTACATAGCAAGTTCTAGACCAGGCACGGCTACATAGTAAGACCCTGTCTAAAACAGAAAAAAAAAAAAAAAAGGAAGGAAGGAAGAATTTACTTTTCAAAGGAACAAAAATTCCTGGGCACCTCTTTGTCTTTTCCAATTGCCACTCCTCCCTGCCCCAAACTCCCGTGGCAATGTCCCTACATAGCCTGGTCACAGGGAATGTCCTTGGTATGACCCCTACACCTTTCCCTATGCCTCCTTCCTTTCTCACCCTCTTCAGAAAGTCCAGGTGGAGCTGACTGTATTGGACTATGACAAGCTGGGCAAGAATGAGGCCATCGGGAGAGTGGCAGTGGGTGCAGCCGTTGGTGGGGCTGGCCTACGGCACTGGGCTGACATGTTGGCCAACCCCAGGCGGCCCATTGCCCAGTGGCACTCGCTGCGGCCCCCTGACCGAGCCAGGCCAATGGTTGCGCCCTGATCCCTATATCAGGCAAGCACCCGACCAGATCCCTCGCTCCCAGCCCATACACCTCTCCCCACAAGCCTCTCCAGACATTGCATCCGTTCCTACCTCCACACTGGAAATATTTCTAACTTCCAGCACCACTCCCGTGCCCCGAAGCCACAGTGATCCTGCGGGAAGGTGGTTAAGTCTGGCATCCCCTGCCCCAGGATCCTACCCTCTGCTTTGACAATCAGCTGCGAGGCCTGTTATCTCCTTTCTCCCAATCTCTTAGCTCTTCCCACACAGCTTAACCCCTGTACGCTGCTCCTGGGGCCAAATAAACACTCAGCAGCTTGGCGACTCAGCCCCCGTGTTCCTTGATGTGCGTACGGGGGAAGGAGGGCAGGACCCAGTGGCTGGAACCAAGAATGTCGCTGGCCTCCCAGCCCAAGGGCATGCCAGGTCAGGTTAACACTGAACACCTCGGACACCAACCCAGGGAAACCCACCCACCTACCACTAACCCATTCATATACTTATCCATTCTTTCTCTGAACCTCGGTTTCCTCATAAGAAGAGAAAGACTTGTGATGGTGATAATATCTATGGTGTGGCTGCTGTGAGGGGTCAGGGAGAACCCCCTTACCAGTAAATTAATTCGTCCATGTGCTCACCAGCCAGGTAAAGGTTGGACCACTGAGCTACACCCCAGCCCCTCATTGGGGGATTCTAGTTAGATGCTCTACCACTGAGCCACACACCCAGCCCCTCACTGGGCGATTCTAGGGAATCACTTTACTATTGATCCTCAACCTTGGTCATCTTTTTAACCTAAGTTTCCCAGTCTCTCCTTAACCCACGAGCTCAGACTTTGCTCCTCATGACTTACTCTTATCAAGGAAACAAAGTAGGTAGGTTTCCAACTGAAATCTTCAGAAAGCCCATGACCTGAAGTCTCAAGAGCTCACCTTCATTCTACACTGAAGTCTCTGAAGAAACGACGGCCACACCACCCTCAATGGCCTGACCTTACCTGTGATAAGGTAGTTTCTTGAGGAAGAGCCGATGGCACCCTTCCCCTCCCTCTTTCAACACAAGTTGCTTCTCATCCTATTTCTGGGAGGATGATTACTTACCCAACTTTATCTCTCCCCAGGCAGGATTTGGTGTGATGGACAGGTCTCTGCTGTTTGAGAATTCAGCCCTCTGAACAGTGGGTTAAGTAGGAAATGGGGGCATGCAGTATCCCCAGATACTAGGGAAGGACTATACATTTGACCTCTGAGCTTCCTGGCAACCAATGAGCAAGGAAATCAGATCAGTTAACATGGATTATTGTGTCCATGAGATTTAGAAAGTCTCCACAAAATCACCGGGCAGTGGTGGTGCATGCCTTTAATCCCCGCACTCGGGAGGCAAAGGCAGGAGGATCTCTGTGAGTTCGAGACCAGCCTGGTCTACAAGAGCTAGTTCCAGGACAGGCTCCAAAACCACAGAGAAACCCTGTCTCGAAAAAGAACAACAACAACAAAAAAATCAAACAAACAAAAAAAGGAGAATGAAAAACAAAACAACAAAAAAAAAAACCAAACCAAAACAACCAACCAAACAAACAAAAAGAAAGAAAGAAAGAAAGAAAAAGAAAGAAAAAAGAAAAGAAGACAGAAAACTAGATAATGTCCATAAAATTCTAGCAGTGGTTTCTCCTGTGCGACTGTGTGCATTACTCGTAAGAAGGCCATAATTATTATTGGGGCTGGAGAGATGGCTCAGTGTAAGAGCACTAGCTGCTCTCCCAGGAGTCCTGAGTTCAATTCCTAGTAACCACATGGCAGCTCACAACCATCTATAATAGGATCTGATGCCCTCTTCTGGCGTGCAGGCATATGTGCAGATAGAGCATTCATTCTTAAAAATATAAATAAATAAAATTTAAAAAGAAGATAGTATTATCTACAATGAACTACTACCACCACTTACTGCCAATATTGCTCTACAGAAAATTCATGATAAATACAGTATTTATTCTTATTGGCAAGTGAAGAAAATTTCTGCAGTTTGCAATGGGTCAGATAGCCAAGAAGTTTGACTTTAAGTTCTGGTACTTGAACCTGTTATGTGTTTTCTTTTTTTTTTAAGATTTATTTATTTTACTATTTTGTGCACATGAATGTTTTGCCTGCTTCTTTGTGCACCGTGTATGTGCCTGATGCCCACTGAGGTCAGAAGAGGGCATTGGATCTGTGTGACTAGAGTTAGTAGGCCTCTGTGAATCACCGTGTGGATGCTGGGAAGGACAATGTGCTCTTAACTGCTAGGCTAACTCTCTAGTCTCTAAATCTGTTAAGATTTAGGTTAAGATCTTGGGGTCTCGGTTTTCCATCTCAGCAAGAAAGCAAACCAATCAGAGGAGACTATTACAAATAACCACCAATATTGAGAATTAAATCCACGGTCTGGAGAGATGGTTCAGCAGTTAAGAGCTCTTGATGTTCTTGCAGGGGTCCTGGGTTTGGTTCCTAACATCCATACATTGAATCATGCTATCCATAATTGGAGTTCCAGGAGATCTGATGGCTTCTTCTGACCTCCACAGGCACCAGACACACATGTGGTACACATATGTGTAGCTAAAACATACATGTATCAAAGGCATGATGCACATAGTCATAGCACTTTATTCCATAGCACTCGGGAGGCAGAGGCAGGTGGATCTCCGTGAGTTCGAGGCCAGCCTGGTCTGAAGAATAGACACAGCTACATGATAGAGAAGCCATCCCTCAAAAAAAAAAAAAAAAAAAAAAAAAAAAAAGAAAGAAAGAAAAGAAAAAGAGAAATCTAATATTTTTTAGATAGTGAAATCCAGAGAATGTTGAGAAATTTAGGGAGTTCAGGGAGATCTTTTCTGGGGTGACATTCGAATGACATGGTAAGGAGGGGTGACATGCATAACTATAAGGGAGAAATAGAATGAAATATTATCCCACCCCAAAAAGAAATGAAGTGTGCTATTCGAGTACTTGCTGAATTCAATCCTGGGCACCCATATAAAAGGCAGGCAAGGCTGAGAGCACCGGTAATACTACCACTGGGGAGCGGAGAGACACAGCTTCAGGGAGCAGCCTAGCAGAAACGATGAACTTCCAGTCTAGTGAGAGACAGCTCAAGGAAATCAGGCAGACAGTGATAAGGCAGACACCAGACACATTCCTCTGGCCTCTACATTTTTGTGGGCACAAGCATCCACATCATGCATGCATACAATACAAAACACACATGAAGGAATGACATTACTAATTTATATTTCATCATGAACCTGGAATTATATATTTCAAATTATATATTTTAGTAGTATAACAAATACTGCTTTTTAAAGATACGTTTCTTTTTATTTTATGTGTATGAGTGTTTTCCTTGCACCATGTGACTGTATGCCCTCAACGGCCAGAAGAGGGCAGAAGAGGACATCAGATTCCCTGGAATTGACGTTGCATACAGAGGGTTGTAAGCCAGCTAGCCACCTTGTTGGCATCTAAGCCCAGGTCCTCTGAGCCCAGCAGCCCTGGCTGCTCTTGATGACTGAGCCATCTCTCCAACCTCTCCATATATAATCAAGCTTGAACTTTTAACCCTGCTTCCTATCCATGACCGCCCCCTCCACCCACCTCTGCCACTGATTGAATTATAGTCATGTGCTATCATACCTATTTTTATGTGGTGCTGGGGATGGAATGCAGTACTTCAAGGCTGCTTATCAAGAGCGCTATCAGCCGGGTGGTGCACATGTGGTACACATATGTGTAGCTAAAACATACATGTATCAAAGGCATGATGCACATAGTCATAGCACTTTAATCCCAGCACTGGGGAGGCAGATGCAGGCGGATCTCTGTGAGTTCGAGACCAGCCTGGTCTACAAGAGCTAGTTCCAGGACACGCTCCAAAACCACAGAGAAACCCTGTCTCGAAAAACAAAACAAAAACAAACAAACAAACAAACAAGAGCGCTATCAAACTGCTATCAGCCCTGAAGTTATTTTTTCTGTAGCATTGTTTCCTTTATTGTTATTTTTTTTTCCATTCTAGTAAATTCTGTTCATTGCTAGGGCCTGAGAGACCAACGTTAGGTATCGCCCCAGGAGGGAGTTTTATTTTTAATTTATGTTTTAAATTGTTATTGTTTATGTGTGCGAGTGTGTG